GTTTCCAGTTATTCACTGTGTTCTTATTCATTGAAACCTAATGCAGATGTGATGCTGTGCTTCATGGAGTGATGCATTATATGGTGGGTATTAAAGAAGGATATGAAAGAGTTTTTCTCACAGAGTATTAATGTGCTTAAAATGGGAGTATTTGTTTCCTTTGTATAGTATTTCTTTCATTTTCCCAGATGCTCTGTCTCCTAACATGAGACAGCAATGAATACTGATGTGATCACAAGAAAAGCATAGTAATAAATTCCATGTGTCCATGATGTTAAATTTATGAAGAAGTGAGTGTGGCCAATAAGTAATAGTTCAGACAACAAAGCCATGAAATAAATGTTGGAAAACCACAGTCATATGTGCACTTGTTATGAATTGATTATCGATTCCTAGTGCTATTCATTCTCCTGTGTATATATTTGGGATGTTTTAGGACTCAGTGGCCTTTGAGGATGTGAGTGTGAAGTTCACCCTGGAGGAGTGGGCTTTACTGGATTCGTCACAGAAGAAACTCTACAGAGATGTGATGAGGGAAACCTTCAGGAACTTGGCCTCAGTAGGTAGGGATGACAACATTCTTACTTACTTGCTTAGTCGATTAGAAAACCAGTGTTGCCCTGGCCAGTTTGGCTCAGCGGTTAGAGCATCGGCCTGCGGTCTGGAGAGACCCGGGTTCAGTTCCCTCTAGGGGCACGTACCTCGGTTGCAGTTTGTCCCCCCCCCCGGCCCTGGTTGGTCGTATGGGTGGCAGCCACTCGATGTGTCCCTTTCACGTCGATGTTTCTCTCTCTTCCTCTCTCTCCCTCCCACTCTATCTGAACAAAAAGTGGAAGAGTGTCCCCGGGTGAGGATAAAAGAAAAAGAAAACCAGTGTTGCTTGCTCAACAATGGATTTCCAAGGAGTGGAATGTGGAAAGGGAATACATTGCTAAATAAACCACACATGGTCACAGCTCATCATGGATTTATTACTTTTCTATAAATTCTTTTTCATTCTTTTTTTTGTTTTGTTTTGTTTTGTTTTTGTTTTCAGTTGTTTTCTGTAAGGTTTTATAGTTTGTAATTTTTCTGGTCTGCATTTTAGGAAAAATATGCAAAGATTATGACATCAAAGATCACTATGAAAATCATGGGACAAATTTAAGGTGAGTCACACTCATGTGAGAAAGCAGTGTCCCATGAATCTTAGTATTTCATGAAATATTTGAAACAGCACAAAAAACAAATCAGCCAAGTTTTAAATTTTATTTATTCTTGCAATATTCTCACCATAAGATTTTTCTCACATGACTTAGATGTTTAGTGTTCCAAATTAGTACATTTGGAAATAGTACTAATTGAAACCTCATTTATGAATACACTCTTTTGATAATAGCTATGACTGAGCCCTCTTGCAAAACAGTACTTTCAGTCATAAAGCACTAAAAACTTACAGTTTCCTTGATTATGGTAAAAAATGGCATTTAATAACTGCTAATAGAAAATTATTAATAAATAAGACATTAATAATATGTTTTTCACTTTTTACAGCAGTCATATAGCAAAGAGACTGGGTAAAAGTACACAAGGTAGTCATTATGGAGAAAACTTCAGCCAGATTCCAAATCATAATCAGAAAAAGAAAACTTCTACTGGACTAAAACTATGTGAATGCAGTGTGTGTGGAGTCTTCATGAATCATTCATTCTTTAGTAGGCATATGAGATCTCATACTACACCCAAACCATATGAGTATCAGGAATATGAAGAAAAGCCATATAAATGTAATGAATGTGGGAAAGCTTTCAAGTATCGCCAGTCCTTTCGAAGGCATGAAAAGATTCACACTGGAGTGAAACCCTATATTTGTAAGCACTGTGGTAAAGCTTTCAGTTGTCTCAGTTACTGTCGAACTCATGAAATATCTCACACAGGAGACAAACCGTATGAATGTAAGCAATGTGGTAAAGCTTTCAGTTGTCCCAGTTACTTTCGGAAACATGAAAGAACTCATACTGGAGAAAAACCGTACGAATGTAAGCAGTGTGGTAAAGCCTTCAGCTGCTTTACATCCTTTCAAAGTCATGAAAGGAGACACAGTGGAGAAAAGCCTTATGAATGTAAAAAATGTGGCAAAGCCTTCAGTTGCCCAAGTTACTTTCGAAAACATAAAAGAATTCATACTGGAGAGAAGCCTTATGAATGTAAGCAGTGTGGGAAAGCCTTCAGTTGTTCCAGATCCTTTCAAAGTCATGAAAGGAGACACAGTGGAGAAAAGCCCTATGAATGTAAAAAATGTGGTAAAGCCTTCAGTTGTCCAAGTTATTTTCGAAAACATGAACGAAGTCACACTGGAGAGAAACTCTATGAATGTAAGGAATGTGGGAAGTCCTTCAGTTGTCCGAGTTACTTTCGAAAACATGAAAGAAATCATACTGGAGAGAAGCCCTATGAATGTAAGGAATGTGGGAAAGCCTTGAGTTCTCTTACCAACTTTCGAAGACACATGATGAAGCACACTGGAGATGGGCCTTATAAATGTAAGGAATGTGGGAAGGTCTTTGACTGTCCAAATTATTTTCAATATCATGAAAGCACACATAGTGGAGAAAAGCCATATGAATGTAAGGAATGTGGTAAATCCTTCAGTACTCCCAGATCCCTTCAAAATCATGAAAGAACTCATACTAGAAAAAAACCTCATGAATGTAAGGAATGTGGTAAAGCCTTCAGTTTTCCCTGTTCCCTTCAAAAACATGAAAGAAGTCATACTGGGGAGAAACCGTATGAATGTAAGCAATGTGGGAAAGCCTTCACTTACCTCAGTTCCATTCAAAAGCATGAAAGAGCTCATAGTGGAGAGAAACCCTATGAATGTAAGGAATGTGGGAAAGCCTTCATTTCTCTTTCCAGTGTTCAAAGACATATGATAAAGCACACTGGAAATGGACCTTGTAAATGTAAGGAATGTGGGAAAGCCTTTGATTGTCCTAGTTCATTACGAACACATGAAAGAACTCACACTGGAGAGAGACCCTATCAATGTAAAAATTGTAATAAAGCCTTCAGTCGTCCCAGTTCTTTACGAAATCATGAAAGAACTCACACCTAAGAAAAAGTCTGTGAATATAAGGAATATGTGAGAGCCTTTTGTGGACATGTAAGGATGCACACAGGAGAGATACCCTATATACAGGGTGTCCCAAAAAATGTATAGATAAGTTGAATTATTACAAAGTCTGTTTATTAACATACAGTTCTTTTTTTTTTAATTTAAAAGAATCTACAGAAGTGAATAATTGTTTTTGTCAGTACCTGTTTTCAAACCGATGATTATTCTGGTTCAGGCACAGCTGATAATGCGAAGCAATGGAATAGCAAACATCAAGAATCATTTCATTTGGTATTTGTGCACATTCTCTTTCAATAGCTGCCCTCAATTCAACCTCTGTTGCCATTTTTGTACTGTAAAATTATCTTTTATGTATCCCCATAAAAAAGTCTAGTAGATAAATTTTTTTTGTTCAAAGCTTAGACTGACTTCACCCATTATTTTAAATCAGTTCAACCTGAAAAGGAGTGAGAATTAAGTTAAAAGTGTGATACACTGGGGGGGAGGGTGCACTCTGTATGTAAAGAATGTGGAAAAGCCTTTAGCTGTCTCATTTCCTTGGGAAGCCACACCAAAAAAATAAATAAATAAAAAGCTTGCAGTGGAAAAAATTCTACTAAATGTAAACAATATAGGAAAACATTCACTTTTCTCAAATCCCTACAAAAACATGTGAGAATGACTACTGGGTAGAAATTGTATAACTAAGTAACGCATAATTTTTAATTTTAACAAATATTTTCAAAGTGGTGTGAAAACTGCATTGGAAATAAATCATATTAATGTAACTAGTATGGGTAGCCTATTGAAAATTAACTTATGTAGGATACTCTAGATATTTCAAAACATGAGAGAAATGTTATGAAAGTTATACATATATGGTCTTATTATTACTGACATTCTTTAATTCTCTGTAGTATGGGGTTCTACTTACTTTTGCAAGTAACCGATCTGTAAGAAAAGGATCATTGAAAAAATGGCATTGTGGTATTTGGTTTTTTTCTACTGGCCTCCTGTGACAAGTACTGGATATGTTTTACCTTTCATAGTCCACCTCCCTTTCTTAATAGAAAACTACCTTTTCATTTGCCTGATAAGCCTTATTTTGTTTTCCTTGCCAATAAATAAATTTGTAAGTGTGAAAACTTCATCATATAGTCTCATGAATTATTTGTATTTGTTGTTTATTATTCTTTATCATTCCTTCTGGTTGGGATTTGGGCTATGGGGTTTGCATTAAGACAAGAGAGGCCTGTGATAACAAATCTAGAGTTGGAGATGAGCCTTCTTTTTTTAAAAAAAAAAACAAACATTTAATAATGATTTAATGTACATTTTTGCACAAACTTAATATATAAAAAGTAAAAATAGAAAATCAAAACTCTAAAATACACAAGTAAACTACTTGCAGCACTCCAAAATATCTGTGGCTTCCCAGAATGATAAGAATTGTTAAAATTAACTTAAAAAGCCAACTGAAGCCTGGATAAAATTTTGATGCTATTGTTACATTATTAGTTGAACAAAGTTTATAAGAAAACTATATACTCACCCAAATTTTAAATGTTGACTTAATTTTTCTGTTCTTAAGAATTAAAGAAATGTTTGTTCTTAGTGGGAAATTAATTATTCAGCCTTCTCCTTTCCCATTTTTATCTCTTTCCACTACTGTCCTCACCCCAGTATACATATACATATACATACACATACACACATGCACACACACACTGCAGGGTATTTTCTGTGTGGTAGAGCCTGAAAAAACACATTAGTTCTCTCAAGATATGGTCTATACATGGAAAAAACACACTATTAAAATATTAATATTGTAGAGATGTCTAACATATTTTGAGAAAAATAACATAATGAGATGTGTATTTTGCACAACTGTGATGATTGAGCATTGTTAAAACAAAACATAACTATAAACATTTTCTGGGTGAATCTCTTGAGGAACATTTGGAATTGCTGGGATCTCTGGTTCTTGTGCTTTGAGTGTTTCTTTCATTTCTTGAGGAAAAGTATAAACATTCTTAGCATCTTCCTGGTGTGCTTTAGGATCCTGGCCTTGGGGCCCACCTTCTTGGTTTGGTTTTAGAAAGCATTCTTTAGGCACATCCTTATTTTCATATGTCTTAGTAGAGAGGTCTTCAGGCCCTTGTTTTTCTTAGTATATGTCAAGTGCACCGTCTTCAGGCCCAGATGTTTCTTGGTGTATGTCAGGTGCACAGTCTTCAGGCCCAGGTGTTTTTTGGTATATGTATATTTCAGATGGACATTCTTCATGAGCAGGTGTTTCTTGGACTGTCTTATGAGAGAGGGCTTTAGGCACAGTAATTTCTTCATATGCTTTATGAGAAAAGTGTTCAGGTTCAACTGTTTTGTAGTATGTTTTTGTAGAAACGTCTTTAGGCACAGCTATTTCTTGTTGTGTTGAAGGAAGGAAGCTTTCAGTCCCAGCTGTTCCTTGACCTGGTTCAGTACTATCTTCCTTGGGTTCAGCTCTTTTTTGGTATGTTTTAAGAGCATAGCTTTTAGGCACACCTGGTTTGGGGTATGCTTCAAGAGAGCATCCTTCCATGCCAGCTCTGTCTTCATATGTTTTAGAAGGAAGGGCTTTGGCTGTAAATGTTTCTTGGTGCATTTTAGGAGAGAGGTCTTCAGGTTCAGCCATAGCTTGGCCTGTTTCAGAAGGGTTGTTTTGTACTGTAGTGGTACTCAGAAGAATTTTCCTGATGTATAATGTTTTCTTGACCTATTGCAGAACATTTTTTCTCAGGTACAACGCTTTGTGGGGAGGCAACCAAAGGGAGAGCTTTGGTCACACTCCACGTTAACTCATTTTCATTCTCTGTAGCTGCCAGTGTTTTCTTCATCATTTCCTTTTCCAACTGTGACTGAGGTTCCCCCTTCAATTCTGTATGTTGTTGTCTTTTTCCACTTCTTTGCTTTCCTTTTCCTGTTCTCTGCCGCTTGGTTTTTTTTTTTTTTCCTCTCCAAATTGCCATTGTGAAGTTTGCTTTTCTTGGGTTTCGGTGTTTCTTTTCCTGAGTTGCTCTCCATTTTGCAGATTCCAAGTTTCAATGACTTCTGGAATGTGGTTCTTTTCTTGATGAGGATCAGGGGTCTGTTGGAGCGTCAAACGAGATGTTCTTTCCCAAATCCATCCTGCCACAATACCTTCTTGCTGTTTGGTCTGACTTCCCCAAACTGCCTGCAAGATGGCACCTGCATGTTCTGTTTGGTATTAAAGGTCCTCTACTGATGTTCCAGACCTCGTGTTCCAAGTCAGGCCCCCATGCTAGGACTTCACTCCAGGCAGACTGATGGTCTGGCAGAAAAGATGGCAGGCTTTGGAGTTAGAGCCATCTGGGCTTAAACCCTAGCTCCGCTTCTTGTTGGCTATGAAGCTTAAGGTTCAGTTCCTTATCTGGAGCTGAGGAATAAGAGCCGGCAGCTGTAAGCAGTGCCCCCTTCAGATGCCCTCTCCCTCACATGACTTGCTTGTAATGGTGGCCACCTGCAGCCCGGCTCGGGTTCTCTAGCCCCAGTGCGCTGGCAAGGGCGTAGCTCCCGGGCTGGGGTGGGGAAGGCCAGCCAGGTGCGCAGACCCGGGGGCGCAGAGTGGGGAGCGGTCACGCAGCTATGAGCTCTTTCAAGATGAGCCTTCTTGAATGTTATATCAGCATGAGTAATGTTGTGAATTACAATTCTAGAATCTGTTGCCTTTATGATGCCATGTTAGAATTCACCAAAGCCTATCTTACATGCAACTTGAACACAGATGTGAAACAGGATTAGGCAGGTTTGGGAGCCAACTGTATAGATAAGACCGGTAGGGCATAGGGCCTATGCAAACACTTGCTTTTAGACACAGACAACAAAGCTGGGGACAGGTCGGGGGGGATGAGGAGGAGGGTGTCAATGGGGAAAAAAAGGAGAAACATCTGTAACAAAAATAAATTAATTAAAAAAAGAACAGACCATTTTCTTCATTCTTTGCTCTGCCAAACAAGAATATCCTCCTCGGCCATAAAAAATAATGAAATCATACCATTTGCTGTTTAAAATGGATGGACCTACAGGGTATTATGCTAAGTGAAATAAATTAGTCAGAAAAAGACAAATACCATATGATTTTACTTATACATCCAAACCTCGGTCCTCAAATGTCTGCCATCTTAAACAATTTGGTTCTTGGCCAAGTTGTTCATGAAAAAAATGTTTCTGTTGTGGAACCAAACTTCAGTTTTCGACCTGACAACCCTTTCATGCTGATAACTCAGCATGACAAAAAGCATCTCTCAGGCAACAAAGGAGAGAATGCTTTTGTTGAAGCAAAATTGATGATCAGTACAATTTTAAAACACGAAGAGGCCATCAAGAGTGCTAATGTTTCCCAGCCTGTTTGGCTCATCGGTTAAAGTTTCAGCCCAAGGACCAAAGAGTTGCAGGTTCCATTCAGTCAAAGATGCTACATGCCGACCTGAAAGACACCACTGGAATGAGTGCTAACAGTGATTCCCTTAAGGCTAGTAGGGGGTGGTTTGATAAGTATTTACTTATAGATTAAACAACACATTAGACATACATTGTATATAAGAAAGGTTAAAACAATCATTTGGGGATCTGGAACAGATTAATTCAATTTACATTATTTTTATTGGAAAAAAATGATTCAATTTTCAGAAAAATCACTTCTCGAACAGCCTTCTGGAACGAATAATGTTTGAGAACCGAGGTTCCACTGGATGTGGAATCTAAAGAACAAAATAAACAAATAAACACAATTGAAACAGACTCTAGAAACAGAGAATAGACTGAGGGTAGCCAGAGGGTAGGGGAGTTGGGGGACTGGGTAAAAAGGGTGAACGGATTGAGAAGAACAGTTTGGTACTTAGATAATAGTTATGAGGATGTAAAGTACAGCATAGGAAATATGGTCAATAATATTGTAATAACTATGTATGGTGCCAGGTGGGTACTGGAACTATTAGGGAGAACACTTTATAAAGCATTTAACTGTCTATATGCTGTACACCTGAAACTAATACAAAATAATATTGAATATAAACTGTACTTTGAAAAAATATATCCTCAAAACCACCAGTGGCTGGTTGACTTCCATTTGATTTCAGCTTTTGGCTTCTACAATTGTCTCCAATGTTCAACTCTAAAGATCCAGTGCAGTTTGGATTCTCCTACAAGCCCTCATGTGTCTACCAGGCAATAAATGTAGACTCTCATCATTGGCAGTGTTCTCTGAAGCACTGACTCCTCTCTTCTCTAGATTGCATTTGCATACGGTCTAATTTGTATAATAAACACCTTGTTCTGTCAATACTGCTAGTGACTGTGTTTCTGATTCCACTATGACGGCTGCAGTGGTGCCGCCAAAGGAACCACGTGGGGGTCGGTTCCTCTGCTGCCTGTGCAGTGACTGCTCCAAAGCCCTGTCCTTCCGCGTGAGAATCTGCACCTTCCTCATACCAGGCAGATTCTGGGTGTTTCCTGTTACTTACAGCTGAGCTGATCCCTCAATATACGTTGTAATTTTTTATTGTACATGATAGTTTGTGCTCTTTTTCTCTAATGAATGCTTCTGTCGTTTTTCTTTGAAACATTTTATTAACTGTTTAACAAACACTCCTTTGCGAAGAAATACTATTGTGTATTTTATTTCCCAAGTGTATATATTAAAATCCCATTGTAATTATGGATTTTTAGTCAATGTGTAATTTTATCTATTTCATCTTTATATATTCTGAATCAATATTATTATTATTTTTTATCCTCACCTGAGAACATTGTTCCATTTTTTGTTCAGACAGAGTAGGAGGGAGAGAGAGGAAGAGAGAGAGAGAGAGAGAGAAACATCGATGTGAAAGAGACACATCGAGTGGCTGCCACCCACACAACCCAGCCAGGGCCAGGGACAAACTGCAATCAAGTCACATGCCCCCGGCGGGAACCGAACCTGGGTCTCTCTGGACCACAGGCCGATGCTCTAACCGCTGAGCCAAACTGGCCAGGGCTCTGAATCAATATTATAATGTGCATACAAATTAAGGTATTTTCCCTCAGGCAAATTATTTTTATAGTTTTATTTTTGTTACCAGGCTAGTTTTCTCATTCATTTCTAATACCAAAAAATTAAATCATAATTTTTTCAATCCCCTTCTGCCAAAGACCACCAGATCATATCTGTAGTTAGAGGGGTATATGAGTTTTAGTACAGTAGCTCCTCCTTGTCTGCAAGGTAGATGTTCCAAGATCCCCAGTGGATACCCAAAACCATGGATAATACTGAACTACATATATATTTACTAATGTTTTTCCTGTACATATATACCTTTGATAAGTTTATTTATAAATTAGGCATAGTAAGACATTAACAACAATAACAAATAATAAAATAGAACAATTAGCCCTGGCCTGTTTGTCTCAGCTGTTAGAGTATCAGTCCTTGGACCAGAGTCATGGGTTCGATTTCAGTCAAGGGCACGTACCTTGGTTGCGGTTCGGTCCCCAGCCCTGGTTGGGGTCATGTGGGAGGCAACCAATATCTCTCTCTCTCTCTCTTTCTCCCCCTCTCCTCCTCTATCTGAAGATAAATGGAAAAATATCCTCAGGTGAGGATTAAAAAAAAATAGAACAATTATAGGAATATACTATAATAAATGTTATATGAATGTGGTCTATCTCTAAATATCTTACTGTGCTGTAGTGATTCTTCTTGTGATGGCGTGGGATGATAAAATGCCGACATGATGAGATGAAGTGAGGTGAATGATGTAGGCATTGTGATATTGCATTAGGCTACTGTTGACCTTATGACAACACGTCAGGAGAAACATCTGTTTCAGGTGATCCTGGATTATTGAGCCATGACAGTTTGATGGTTGGATTTCAGGAGCAGAAGATGATGATGGTTGGGGATCCTCCATAGTTAAAAGGTCTTGTTTTTGTTTTTGTTTGCCAATATCTTTTGGAAGAACATTGTATTCAGAAGTTGGTGTCTTTTTCTTAACTCATTCAAGTGTTGCTAGAGGTTGTAATCTTGGGTGATCATACAGGTGACTTGAATGCTGTGTTTTATCTGAGGATTGTAATTCACAATTTTGTCCTTTAATGTCTACACAATTCAAAACACTTTGGCAAATTTCAGTAATATTCACATTGCTGGTTTTGTTTCAGTTCTTCTTCCCCTTTAGATAACAAGTCTTCTGATTCCTCTTTTTCTGACTCTCCTCAGAGGCCTTCAGTATGATTTTGCACTTCAAGCATGTCAGCAAATCCTCCACTACCTTGTCTTGCTGTATAAATGACTTTCCTAACCTCTCCATTAATCCCCAGGAAGCCTTTAAAATAATTCACGACTTCACATCATAAATTTTTCCAGAAGGCATTTACATTTTCTGGTTTTAATTCATCCAGCAGCTTTATGAACGTTTCTGTTATTCATTCAGGGTGGGGCAAAAGTAGTTTTACAGTTATTTGTTTGGAAAATAATACCATAGTTAAAAATAATAATACAAGAATAAACTTTTTCACATACTCACAACTATAAACCTACTTGCAAAGTAGTGAGTATGCAAAACACAAAGTTTATTCTTGTATATTCTTAACATTTTAAATGTTTCCTTTCTCTTCTACTATTTTGACATCTGTGAATACAATCTATAGGATTAGACCTTTCTATGTGTATAAATTTTCAAATAATACTTATTTTTTAAAATAATTCAAGCTCTGGTGAGTTTTGCTCAGCAATTGGAGCGTTTGTCTGTGGACCAGAGAGGCCCAGGTTCGGTTCCTGCTAAGGGCACATACCTCACTTGTAGTTTGTCCCCAGCCCAGTTGGAATCGTAGGTGGCAACCACTCGATGTGTCTCTCTCACATCAATGTTTCTCTCTCTCTCTTCCTCCCTCTCTTCTTCCTGTTCTATCTGAAGATAAATGCAAAAAATGTCCTTGGATGAGGATAAAAAAAAATTTTATAAAATAACAAATTGATTTTTTTCTAAGTAACATTTTAAATGTGGATGGAAGAATGAATAAAGTCCATTAACAGGATATTCCAAGAAAAATGTTAGCTAAGCAAATAAGGAACAAATAAAAAGATGCTGATCCACTAGTAATTAAGGAAATGAAAGTATAACAGTAAAAT